AGGGAAACAGGGGCCATTGGTGGTGGGAAATGTACGCTGGTGGAGGGATAGGTGTTGGATTGTTGTATGACTGAAATCCAATCATGAAAAGCTTTGTAATTGTCTGTATTTAAGATATTCAATTAAAAAATTTTAAAAGTAATATGGAGTTCATGCCCACTTCATTTAGTTTAATTGGTAGCTGAATAAATAGTAATACTCCTACTTCTAATAATAATAATAATAGTAATAAAGATTTAAAGCACACAAAAAATTCTTTAAGGAACAGTCCATGAAGGCTATAACTTTTAGAAATAAACATCTCAGAAGACTCTAAAAAATATAATTAGATTAGAGACATGTTAGCCTAGAGTGGGAGCTGCAAGATTGATTCCAGTTTCAGAGACTTGAGTAGAAACAGATATATATTGAGCTATATATTTAGAGGAAAGAGCTACATTACATGTGTGGTTGCATCTGCTAGTAGGTTTTCCTCTAAATCCTGAGTAAAAGGCCATCGCCTAGAGGATGACTCTTCCTGCTCCCCTATGGGCAGAAAGAGAAGCAACTGTTGAATCTCTGTGTTCTACTTTATTAAACATCATTTAGATGGACATATAAATACTCAATTTATCATCAGAATTCTATTGTTAGATGCACTCAGTAGCACTTGGGGAAGTGGATGTGCCAGGCCCTGCTGTGCGGGGAGAGCCACAGACACTGGGACTGAGACTGCCACCATGAGTGACCAGCAGCTGGATTGTGCCTTGGACTTAAGGAGGCACCTATCTCCTCAGCAAATTGAGAAGAACCTCAGAGACCTGATCCCCAGTATGTGTGAAGATCTCCTGTCTTCTGTTGACCAGGCCCTGAAAATAGTCAGAGACAAGGTAGTGGACAAGAATTACCTGCTCTGACTACAAAAGAGATAGTGACTCTATCAATCACCATGAAGTAACAAGTATAACCCTTTGCTGGAAGATGGGGCCATGCCTTTGCGGCTGAGAAAGCTGGAGGTAGTGGCCAACAGCACCCTTGACCAATATCAAGATCTGTATTTTGAAGGTGGCTTCTCATCTGTCAACCTCTGGGATCTGAATCATTTGTCAGAGTGATACTCATAAACAAGGCTGGAGGTGGATCAAAGACGATCAAAGGCTGCTGGGATCCCATCCACATGGTGGAGGTGCAGAAGAAAGAAATTTAGTGGTCACATTGTACAAAAAAGCAAAACAAAACAAAAAAACAACTAAATAGGCAATTTTAAGATGGGACAAGTCCCACAAACACAACAAACTACTGCAGAATGATGGTACAAAACCCCACAACAATAATTTCTCTCAATGATGGTTGGAGGGATAACTCGGGATGGGAGATGTGTGCTGAAAACAGATAAAGGACCAAACATGATGGCCTCTCATTATCTGTATTGCAAACCATAATGCCCATAACTAGAGAGAGAGTAAGAGGGAAATTGTCTGACATAGAGGCAGGGGGAAGGTTGGGACAGGGCAGGGGAGGGATACTGGAAACATTCACTTAATCACTTAACTTCCTGTTAGTCGTCGATTTGCTCGAGCGGGCGCCAGTAACGTCTCCATTTGTCCCTGTCGCGTGCTAGTGTAGCCCAATGGCATCTCTTCGCTCCGGGAACATGGAGGGCCTCAAACCGATCGTTCATGACCTTGACAAAGAAGTCTGACCATCTGGTAGGTGGGCGGCCACGCGGTCTCTTGACATCCCGTGGAATCCAATCAGTAACAGCTCTAGTCCAACGGTCGTCTTTAAATCTCATTACGTGACCAGTCCATCTGATTTTCGACACCTTGGCAAATGAGACAGCGTCCCTGATCCTTGATCGTCGACGGATGTCAGAACTCCGGATTCGTTCTCTCATTTGAGTGAAACGTGATATTCCAAGCATAGCTCTTTCTATTCTTCTTTGGGAGACCTGAATGGCGTTCTCATCTTGTTTGCGTAGGGCCCAGGTCTCTGAGGCATATGTTAATGCAGGAAGAACAGTGGAATCAAAGAGATGTGCCCGGAGCCGGAGGTTCTTCGTCCTCTTAGCTATTTCTTCGACGTTCTTGAAGGCGTTCCAAGCCGCTCTCTTCCTCCTGCGCAGCTCGGGTGCCAGGTCATTTGTCATGTTGACCTCTCGACCTAGGTACACATAGCTGTTGCATTCGGAGATGGTCGTTCCATTGAGAGCGAATGGGGCGTCAGGAACAAGGCTATTTCTCATAAACATTGTCTTCGTAAGATTCAGCTGTAGTCCTACCTTTCCACACTCACGGTCAAAGTCGGCCAGCATTTGTGCCGCTTGGCTGATGTTTGGTGTTATTAAAACAATGTCATCAGCAAAGCGGAGGTGGTGTAGTTGCCGACCATCTATCTTCACTCCCATTCCTTCCCATTCCAGTCGTCGCATGATGTTCTCGACTGGAAACATTGGTGGTGGAAAATGTACACTGGTGGAGGGCTGGGTGTTCAATTATTGTATGACTGAAACTCAAATATGAAAGTTTTGTAGCTATAGCTCACGATGATTCAATAAAAACAATAAAAAACTTTTTAAAAATCTCTCTCAATGTCAATGGGCTAAACAATTAAGAGACACAGTGGCAGGATGGATTAGAAAATTGAACCCCAACACTCTGCTGTCTGCAAAACACACATCTGCACTGTCAGAGTAAATGCAGACTCAAAGTCAAAGGCTGAAAAACAATTCTTCAAGAAAACAATCCCCTCAAAAAGGCTGGGGTGGCCAAACAAATAAAAGACAACACAGATTTCAGACTGATGAAAGTTATAAGAGATAGTGAAGGCCATTTCTTAATGATCACAGGATCTGTACATCCCGAAGAACTCACACTCCAGAATTCTATTTTTATAATTATTTATTTTTTTTTATATAGCACAGTGGTAGGGCTTTTGCCTTGTGCGCAGCCAGTCTGGCCGAGCCGGGTTTGATTCCTCTGCCCCTCTTGGAGAGCCCAGCAATCTACTGAGAGTATCTCGCCTGCACGGCAAAGCCTGGCAAGCTACCAGTGACGTATTCAATATGCCAAACACAGTAACAACAAGTCTCAAAATGGAGACATTACTGGGCCTGCTCGAGCAAATCGATGAACAACGGGAGGACAGTGACAGTGACAGTGATCATTCTGCCCTGCCTCAGATTTTATAGACTTCAAAGTCTGTGCTGATTAAATGAAAATAGCGTTATTTGGCTGGTGTGAGCCACCAGTATCTCCATCAGTATGAGCCATCAGCATCTCTCCAAGCTCTTTCTACCTCTTACTTTTCCTTCTAAAGAGGTGGCAGCTCTATAGCCAACTTGTTTTTCCCCGGAAAAAAAACAAATATATTTGTGAGATTCTTCTTATAAAATTCCAGCCATGCTGGAATTTAAGATTTATATAGAGATTGTCAACAATGTATTTTTGAGGGCATTTATGGAGTACAGTGTCCTTTTTCCAAATGTCACATGAAATTTTAGAGTTACAGAAACACTACTCTGTGCCTGAAAGAAGGGACTGTTCTCATCAAGGAAAAGGAGAGTAATAAAATATTGTGTTTTTTTTAATTACTTGAAAGGAAAGTGCTCAAAAACACTATAAACTCTACATACCACTCCATGTTACAGTAATTGCCCATCAAGATTTTCTTTTATGTATTCCTTTTGTTGTTTCATTCCTCTGGTTTTCCTTACAGTACAGATCTTGCTTAGAATTGGTCCTAATAGCAGATCTAGGTATAATAAGAAAGTTGACAAGAGACAGGAAAGGCCAGAATTAATAATAATGACATATGGTGATTGGGATTTCATCCAGCAAGAAGAAACTCAAACATTCATCTCAAAACACCGTGGGTGCTTGTCTCTGAGAGTAAAGCATAATCAGAGTGCTGAGACTCCTGCTGATGAGAGGAAGGAGTGACACTACAGTCTTTCAGTCCAGTGCTCAAGCTGGGTCCGTCATAGTTCATGAGAAAGTAGAAGACACTTGGGGTCAGCAGGGATCAATTCAATCATGGGCAAAACCTGGTGACCATTCTGTACAGAGAAAATGTAATACAGCATGAGACTATGTCAAGTATCATTTTCATTTAATCTCAAAAAGACTTTTTAAAAAGGTGGGGAACTAGAATCAGAAAGACACTAGAGCCTAAATCACACACATACCTCAATCAAGAGAGCCGCTGTAATACCCCAGTTACTTATTCAGCCAGCTCCCATGCGAATCACAAACCCAAGGAATGACTTGCATTTCCTAGCCCCAGTGTAAGATAGGGATTTTTGCTTCATTACTCCTCTGAAGAGGTCTATAGTTCTAGACTGATATTTCTAATAATACATTCTCTGGGTATTTCCAAAGAGCTCCCCATCATAGCCATTGTCTTACATATTAAAATATAGAGAATGACAGAAAGTGGAATAAGGTTGGACCGTATTTCCTACTTTGAACTTCTAAATGGTTAAAGATTGACATCACTGTAGCACTGTCCTCCTGTTGTTCAGTGATTGCCCGAGCGGGCCCCGTAATATCTCTATCATGAGACTTGTTGTTACTGTGTTTGGCATATTGAATACGTCACGGGTAGCTTCCCAGGCTTTGCCGTGCAGGTGAGACACTCTCGGTGGCTTGCCAGGCTCTCCGAGAGGGGTGGAGGAATGGAACCTGGCTTAGCCAGGCCGGCTGTACACAAGGCAAATGCCCTACTGCTGTGCTATTGCTCCAGCCCAAAGATCGACATCATCTAAGAGAATCCAACCTGACTGGTCTGCACTGGGATTTAAAAATAATTTGCATGATTTTGTAAATCTGCATATTTTCTCTTATCACTTTATGTTTAGTGTAAAAATAATAACCAAATAACTTACAAAAACCCCCTTGTTCTCACATTCACTAAGTGTATGGTCTGGTTTTCTTAATATTTTTTTATCCTACTCACTACTCAAAGGCCTCATTTTTCATATTCCTTTAAGAATGCATAAAGTTGGCTCTTACTGTGGGAAATTATATGGTACTGAAAAATTCCCAGGGTTCACCCTTCAGCCTTCGTCCATCAGTTCCCTCCATGCCAGTCTCCCATACTACTGCATTAGGACTCTGTCCACAACAGTTACCTGAGTAGATCACAGCCACATCTTCCTTATGGTTGCATTTGTGAATTCCCCAAAATCTGTGTTGGCACTGCTTCAGGGACTGCTCCTTCCCTGAGTGACGAACATCATCAAGCCAAATCTGGCCCATTCCTGGGTCAAAGCATCACCGGATTTTGGTGGATGGAAAGAGGGACTTCCCAAAGCCTAGTTGCTTGCTACCACCTGATCCTGCTTTTCTCCCCAGCCATCATCACAGACAGAACCCTACACACCTTTGTGGAGCACCTCTAGGCACCCGGAACAGTGCCATCTCCTCCTACCAGTCTCAAGTCAAAGGGATCTGCAAGATGTATGAAGTCAAGGGATGAAAAAAAAGGCATGAAAAGGGGCTGGAAATGTTATCACCTACATCCTCATTCAAATTCCATCAGCACACTTGAAACTTATACCTTGTTTCCATGATTAAGGACTCTTCTCTAGATTGCACTCCACAGGATGCAAGTTGATTTCTAAATTTAAGTCTTTTAATATCCCCTACTAGGGGTAGGGTGTTTGTCTTGCATGCAGCCAACACAGCCAACCCAAGTTCGATTCCTTCGCCCCTCTAAGAGAGCCTGGCAAGCTACCAAGAGTATCTCACCTGCACGGCAAATCCTGGCAAGCTACCCATGACGTATTCGATATGACAAACACAGTAACAAGTCTTACAATGTTACTGGATCCGCTCGAGCAAATTGATGAACAATGAGAGGACAGTGACAGTGACAGTGACTATTTTTAAGAAATATAGTATTTAAAAATGACTAATTGTTTTACAACACTGAAAAAGTCAAGTACATGCAATGACGTGCCCTATCTTTAGTACATAGAATTAAATCTAACAATTCATAATAACATAGCGTTAGATGTTGTTTTGAGCCTTTTCATATACAAAGGCAGATATTATCTCCATTTAAAGAGAGGATAAGTAGTAAGCAATACATTAAGATTTTTTTTTATCATCAGTTGATGTATGACTTGAATTTTAAAAATTCAAAATGGCCTCAGCCTCTGGATTTATACCTTTACATTCTACCCACATGTCCTCAGCATGGGTGCAGTTATTTTCTCCCCAAAGCCCAGAAGGACAATCCTGAAGACTTTCTTCTTGTCCTGAGTAAGATATCTGACTTAGCCAGTATGATAGTTTATATGATATTAGATGGTGAACTGCTTGAGAACTGATAAAGCATATATTACATTTTGTGAATTTAGCGGGTAGAGCGTCTGCCTTGCATGCAGCCAACATGGCCGACCCGAGTTCGATTCCTCTGCCCCTCTCAGAGAGCCCGGCAAGCTACCGAGAGTATTCGATATGCCAGACACAGTAACAACAAAGTCTCCAATGGAGACGTTACTGGGCCCGCTCGAGCAAATCGATGATCAACGGGAGGGCCTTTACTTTTACTTTACTTTTATTACTTTCTTATATTTCCAGATACAATACACATACACACACACACACACTTCTTAGCAGACATTTTGTTTTGGATGTGTGTACATTTATATGGAGGGAAGAGAAATATTCTCACATAAATTGAAACAAAGAGATAAATCATTAGATTGAAGGAAGAATAATCCTGGTTGAAAATCTTTTTCTGTAGCTTCCATAACTGAGAAACCAAGATGTGAAGCACAAGGAGCCAACCAGACGTTATATGGAAGCCCATGGAAAGAAATAAAGAATGAGGAGAGGTCAGTGGAAAATGGTTCTAGCATCATCTTGCCATACTCACTGTCACACCGGGCTCCTGCATCCTCTTCGTGAAAGCAATCAAAAGCATCTTCACTTTTCCACTGGGACAGTGATTCTTCTATCCCTGAGCAATTAACATCCTGGATGAGAACTTTTTGCTCATTGTCTATTAATGGTGCATATAGAAAACCACTGAGTGACCCCTTGGGAGAACCACAGCATACCATAGTTACATCCTTCATGTCCCTGCCGTCATCACAGGCAGTGCCCCAGTGACCTTCCTGCTCTACCTCCACCTGCCCTTTGTGGGAAGCCAAGAGCCCTCTCATAGACCCTGGCCATGGTTCCCATGTTAGGAACTGCTTGGGACAGACATTGGTGACAGTCTCCCAGGACTTCCTGATCTCAGCAGATACCTGATCTATAGCCACACATCAGGCTGACAGCTTATCTGGCCTTATCTATAGTAACCTACAGGATGCATCTACTCCCTAAGACCCTTTGATATACAAATGTAAAGCTCAGGATGCACCTACTGCCACAAGACCCTTTGATGTGCAAATGTCTACCTTGAATGTTAGGTAAAGCTCTTGTTGCTGACCTTACCGTATATGGTTATATTGCCTCTGTTCCTGACTGAGCTGCCCGGACCCTATATAAACAGCCTGTATCCCTCAATAAAGCCTGTCCCTTTTTCTCTCTGTTTCTAAACTGTACTCTGTCTCTTGTGTCTCGTGTTCATTCGGTTGGTCCCTCCTTGCACCATCGGATCAATCCTCGGGCCACCTCCGCGGGCCGGAGAGTGGTTACCGGGGGCCCCCTGCAGCCCTTCACAGCAGTGGGGACCGCCCACAAGTCATACATTGGATGAAGACTCTGTAAAGAAATGGGATATTAACTGGAGACATGGGAGGAGCCCAGATAGTACTCAAAAATGTACACAGTCATCTTGGGACTCTTCCAGCATTTACAGAGAAGAGGAGAATCGAAACTGGAAGGGCCAAAAGAGAAGAGACTAGAAGACAGGAGCTGAATTCTAATTCTCTGTACCCAACTAAAAAACTTCACCTTAAGACACCACAATACAAATGCTGGCGTTTGAGTTTGTAAATTTAAGATAACAAAGTTAATTGAAGATCCAGAAGAGTTTTATGATATTTGGTTATATTCAGAAGGTTAGATTCAGAAGGATCTGCAGAGATCAAATCCACCCCACTATTTCATAGGTGAGAAAATTATCCTTATGAAAGTGAAGGTCATATGGCTATACTGTTAAATAATTCCCAGATAAAACATGAGAATAGAGACGGTATCTGTTGTGTCCTTTCTTCCTCATGACTGTTTCCCACATGGCAGCAAGATTGAAGGCAGGGTTAGAATAAGAAGCCACTTTTCTCTTCCATTATAAGCCACCCTCATTCATTTTTTTCTTTTAGAGTTATACCCAGTGATACTCAGGGGTTACTCCTGGCTCTGAACTCAAGAATTACTCCTGGTGGTGCTTGGGGGACCATATGGGATGCCGGTGATTGAATCCGGGTCTGCAGCGTGCAAGGCAAATGCCCTACCCGCTGTACTATTTCTCCAGCCCTCCCTCATTCATTCTTGCTGTTTATGATAACCATTTTCTCATGCCCAAGAACCCATTGGTAAGGAAAGAGTCAAAGGCTCAATCTCAGAATTTAGACTACATAGCTCCCACATTCATGTTCTCTCTCTGCAGCCTCATGATCTTATTGGTTGTACACATTGTCTAGGCTCCTCTCAACGTAGCCTGCTCACTTTTGGCCAATACATGTGCTTCACAAAGGTTGGTAAATTTCTAGCTTATAGGTAACATTAAAGCTGATAGAAGGATCCAGAAGGAAAGGATACAGGCGGGGGGGAGAAAAAGAAGTTTAATTCTGAAATATTCCACCCATCCCTCACCCCCATCCCGTAAAGGGGAAGGTTGTCTTCTGAGCTTTAAATAAAGTCATCTGCTACTGAGAGTCCTGGGCCACAGAGATCAAGTGAGTAGGAAGCTCCTTGAAGACAAAACACCTAGTTTCCTTCTAGGATTTGAAAGCAAAAAAGCACATATGAGAAGGAACTAATGGGATGAGAAAACATGGAAATCTATTGAGCCGCTCTGTACTATACTTTCTCGTTGTAGTCAAAATTCTTTAAATTTTCCACTCTCCAGAGCTTAGGAAACCTCCATCTCAGGATAACAAAAGATCTTAAACTGATAGGTCAAGTCCAGTGCAACAGCTGATAGGGGGAAAAAAAGAAAATTGGTAAGATCATTATATTAGTGCTAAAGTTTTGCTCAAAAGTCACAGCTATGGGGACGGGCACAGAGGCCCAGCTCTGGGCAACAAAGCTGAATGGCTCCAATTCCAACAGGTACAGCCCGCCCCCAAGGGCCTGGGTTCCTCTCTGGGCACGCGCAGCTAGAAACAGCCCCGAGACAGCCGGTTTTCAACCCCTGAGCCGCGTGGGATGGGCACAGAGGCCCAGCTCTGGGCAACAAAGCTGAACGGCTCCAATTCCAACAGGTACAGCCCGCCCCCCAAGGGCCTGGGTTCCTCTCTGGGCACGCGCAGCTAGAAACAGCCCCGAGACAGCCGGTTTTCAACCCCTGAGCTGCGTGGGACGGGCACAGAGGCCCAGCTCTGGGCAACAAAGCTGAACGGCTCCAATTCCAAACAGGAGACATTCCCAACTCCTCGCCCAGTGCCAGGGACTCTTTCCGGAGCCGCGGCCGCTAACGCGGCCGCGAAATATTTTCCCACTACATATGCCATGGGAACCATAAGCTAACTTCTTAGATGGAAACTTCTCTATTTTAGCTCAGCCACTAGAAATACAGTTGCCAATAACTCATAAGCCTATCTTAACTCACACTGCATATCAAGCAGAATAGTAACACTGAACGTGAAGGACTAAACCACACCTCTCACAATGGTAAAGCAACGCAAAAGCCCACCAAACATTCATATTGAAGAGTCTAGCCCAGATGACACCAACAGTACTGTAGTGTTAGACAACCTCTCTGACAAGGAATTCAGAAGGGAGCTACTTAGGATGCTTAGGGAATTAAAAGAAACAATGGAAAGCAATGCCAATAGAAGACAAGAGGATCTGAAGGCAGAAATGAGGAAAATGCAATCAGAAATGTCAGACCTGAAAAATCTCGTAGGCGAATTGAAAAGCTCAGTGGAAGGCCTCAGCAGCAGAGTAACAGCGGCTGAGAACAGAATCAGTGAGCTCGAAGATGAAGTTCAGAGACTCTCCCGAAAAGAGCAGAAAATGGAAAAGAGACTCACAATTCGGGAACAGATGGCAAGAGAATATCGTGATGAAGCCAAGAGGGGTAACATAAGAATTATTGGAGTCCCAGAGGGACAGGAAGAAAACCTCGATGAAGAAGAAACTGTCAAAGACATCATTGCTACAACATTTCCAGAGCTGAAGAAAACTTGTGACCACATTCAGGAGGCCCGAAGGGTACCAGCTAGAAGAAATCCGAATAAAAATACCCCAAGACACATTCTGATCAAAATGACCAAAACCTTAGACAGAGACAAAATTCTGAAAGCAGCAAGATCGAAGAAAGAAATCTCTTACAAAGGAGCATCCTTAAAATTCACAGCTGATTTTTCTGATGAAACCCTCATGGCCCGAAAACAGTGGTGGGACATAGTAAAAAAACTCAATGAAATAAATGCCTCCCCCAAAATACTTTTCCCAGCAAGACTCTCATTCATAATAGAAGGAACAACACACAGTTTCACAGACAAACAACAGCTCAGGAACTTCATAGACTCAAAACCATGGTTACAAGAACAACTAAATGGGCTACTTTAAGGCAAGAAAGGCCCCTCAAATACACCCAATTTTAACATAACAATGGGACAAAATCCCATAACAATAATCTCTCTCAATGTCAATGGGCTAAACGCACCAATTAAAAGACATAGAGTGGCAGGATGGATTAGAAAATTGAACCCAACATTCTGCTGCCTGCAAGAAACGCATCTCAATAGTCAAAGCAAACACAGACTCAGAGTCAAAGGCTGGAAAACAATCCTACAGGCAAACAGCTCCCATAAAAAAGCTGGGGTAGCCATCCTTATATCAGACCACATTGATTTCAGAGTGAGGAAGGTCATAAGAGACAGTGAAGGCCATTACTTATTGATCAGAGGATCTGTACAACAGGAAGAACTTACAATAATAAATGTATATGCACCTAATGAGAGACCAGCAAAGTACTTAAAACAACTACTCATAGATTTGGAAAAAGACATCAATAGCAACACAATACTAGTGGGAGACTTCAACACTGCTTTGTCACCTCTTGATAGATCAACCAGACTCAAGTTTAGCAAGGACATACTTCATTTGAGGGAAACAATGGAAGAAAGGGACTTAGTAGATATATACAGGACACTTCATCCACAAAAAGCTGAATACACATTCTTCTCAAGCGTACATGGAACATTCTCCAAGATAGACCACATGCTGAGCCACAAAACATGCCTCCATAAAATTAAGAAGGTAGAGATTGTATCAACAATCTTCTCAGACCATAATGCGCTGAAATTAGAAGTAAATCACACACAAAAACAGAAAACTAAATCAAACACCTGGAAATTAAACAGTGCACTATTGAACAACGAGTGGATTAGACAGGAAATCAAAGAGGAAATCAAAAGATTCCTAGAAACGAATGAAAATGAGAACACGAGTTACCAAAACTTATGGGACACAGCAAAGGCTGTGTTAAGAGGAAAGTTTATAGCTCTACAAGCATTCCTCAGGAAGGAGGAGCGAGCACACATAAGTAACCTAACCTCACAGCTTAAGAGCTTGGAGAAGGACCAAAAAAAGGAGCACAACCCGAACAGGAGAAAGGAAATAATAAAACTCAGAGCAGAGATTAATGAGATGGAAACCCAAAAAACAATCCGAAAGATCAATGAAACCAAGAGCTGGTTCTTTGAGAAAATTAACAAGATCGATAAGCCTCTAGCAAAACTCACAAAGAAAGGGAGAGAGAAAACCCTAATAAACCGAATCAGAAATGAAAAGGGGGTCATTACAACAGAAACCACAGAAATTCAGAGGATCCTCAGGGAGTACTTTGAGAAGCTTTATGCCACGGAACATCAAAACCTCGAGGAAATGGATAAATTCCTAGACTCCTACAGACTCCCAAGGCTGAACCAAGAAGACCTGGAATACCTGAACAGACCTATCACCATCAAGGAAATTGAAATGGTAATAAAAAGTCTCCCCAAGCACAAAAGTCCTGGCCCGGATGGATTCACTAGTGAATTCT